GCTGGCAGTGTGCTGTGCTATAGCTCACTGTGGCTGACAGTGTGCAGTGCTGTAGCTTCCTGTGTAAATACCTCACAATCTGTACATTCAAAAGAGGAATTTTCCTGTTTACACACCATACTCCACACTTTTAAGGTTAAAAAAGTAAAAATAAGAAAACCTAAATATCACAACTGAATATGTTTTCACCCCTCAGAATTAACACTTAGTGGAAACACCTTTGGTAGAAATCAGAGTTGTGAGTCTATTGTGGTAGGTTTCTAGCCAACTTGCACATGTGCACTGTGAACACAGGTTTGGCAATACTGTATACAATCCATTTTTGTTTACAAGATGAGTGGTCCAAACAGTTTGAGCCCTGTAAAGTTCTGCTAGCTCATATGTTTTATCTGTTTCATAAAATTACTTCATATTCATATACTGAGATAGAAGTAAATATTATTTAACTCTTGTTAACTAAACATCAAATTGTTTGGAAAAATACTTTAACTCGTCACAATTATAATGTGAATAGAGACGTTTTATACTCATCAGAGGAGCAGGATACAGTCTTGTGCAGATCTGTTTTATTGAGCTTCAATAAGTATACTGCAGCAACGCATGCTGGGCCTGCCACCAGAACAGACAAACTGCAAGGGTTTCCCAGCTCTTATATACAGTACAGACTCAGAAACACTTTTAAATGTAAAAGAAGTTTGTTTGACACTTTTAGTGTTTTCCTTTTTTGTGGTGTGTCATTGTTTCCCCTTTTAACACTTGTGGCAGGGCATGTTGTTGCAGCTGTTGGTACAAGTCACCTTTGTTAGCTCAAAAAATATTTTGAGACAGCTTAAGTAAACAATCTCAACAATCACTCTAATGATGTCTACAATATGGTTCAGTAGTAATATTTTAGTGCTGGATATGTGCAGTACAGATATAGGTCCTATTTCAACAGACTTCTGTCTTTATAAGTAACTGCTTTAAAGCAATCCTGTGCCCAGATGTCTTCTTGGGTAAGGGCACAAGGTAGACAGGTAGAAGAACGCGGTTCGTCCTGGCTTTAGCTTGGTTCTGAAAATGTTTTTATATTTAAAATGTCTACAAGAAGAGTCCAACTGTCTTATTTCACTGATCAGGCAACAAAAACAATGGGTTTGTGAACACAAGATTTATGCTGTTGCAAAAAGAATATCTTGGGCAAAACTCTGTACTTTACTGACTCTTGGTCTGGCATCTTAGAGAAAAATTTAAGTCCAGACTGAAAAGACTGAGACTGCTTGCAGTTAACCGCAAGTTGGAGAGAGAGAAGGAGCCAGTGAGTTAACCAATGAAAATGAGTTAGGTTCTAGCATTTATGGTGCAACATCAGAGTTGGTGGTTGGCTAAGAAGCTATCATATATAGTACCCACCCTGCAGATCCCTCATTGGTGGATCTACCTTTGGATGATGAACAGTCCCCTTTGACCTGTGGTTAATGGAGCTAATCTGTTCTATATATTATTAGATTGTTCAGCATTGAATATATCAATTACCCCTTATCAGAGGGGCCTCTTACCATGTCCTTCTGCATTTACAGAGAGGCACCAAGCTTCTTTCTAAAGGCAACACAAAGATAATTAAATTTTTTTAATAATACTTAATACTAAGTGAAACCTTGCCACTAAAACTTAAAGATTTTGTTGCTATTTTACAATAATGGCTTCCTTCCTGCCATTCTGCCATGTAGGCAGAATGGCAGGAAGTGCTTGAGATATTGTCACAAGCATACTTTGACTGGTGTAATATACTGTATCTTGCAGCTTTTATGGTAGGAATAATATCTTCTTTGAAAACATGGAGGTGATGTAAGTTATTGAGCAATTTATAAAGTGATTTTGCTGAATGACATAAGTAATAACCAACCAGGGTCATACAGGTTTGCAGGATTTCATATGTGTATTCTTGTTGCAAATACATTCATATTGCAACTCTACAGAAGTTGTGCATTTGGATTCCTTAGAATGTAGCCTAATGCATGGTTGCAGTTGAAGTTCACGTCCAGAGTACGATGCATGATTGTGATGAAAATTCATGGCAGATGGTCAGATTACCTCAGATATGCCATGTACATTAAAAATGTTTTTTTTTTATTTCACAGATATGTAAATTCCAGTTCTCTCCCTTTATCATCTATTGAACAGGATTTCCAGAAGGACCTAGTCTCCATTAACTTAAATCTTCCTGTGGGGCACACGTTTAAGATTCACAATGCAACCCATGTGAGGTAAACATGGTAAAAGAAATATGATATAAAATGTAGGGACTAGCCTTTTACTTTTGTGAAAAGGAGTGTTTTCTGTTTTCAGTTCTCATACATTCTGTCTTAGTTTTCAGATTTCACAAAATTAAAAAACAATTGGGAACAAAATAGGAAACATTTATTTTCATAAACTTCTGTGGATCTCTGGAAAAAAACTGATGTACTATGTTGATAAAGCAAATTCCCCAGTAGCCTGCAAAAATCTACTGCATGTGATCCTTAAATAAAAAGACACTAGCAACCAAAAGATCACTGTTTTGGTACTGGGTTGAATGTCCTGTGCTTTGTTTGAGGCCCACAGTACACCAATTCCATTTAGAATGTGCATGTTGTCTTAATTCAGTGCCAGAAGATTGATGTTGGGCTCAAATAACATACAGTACAAAACCAAAAATATTAAATTATTAAAATAATTAAAAGTGACAACAGAATTTTTTGGAATGTAGAAAAAAGTGTGGAATTTAATTTTGGGAAATTATGCTCAAGCTTTACAATGGTTTTAATTACCATAACAAGGAAAGGGTATTATAGAGAATATTCTCAGTTTAAGAATGCTAAAAATATTCAGTCTAGAACAAAGGTTGAGAGCAGATTTGATCCAAATACACAAAGTCACTAAATTATAAAATGAACTTAGTCATTAAATTACTAAACTGGAAAGATAAAAAAATGGATAATTGTAATGCAGTCTTTATGTTCTAAAAGTATTGGGCAATTCTACCATAAGAGGTTCTTTTTATGCTCCAATTATTTTCTCTTTTCTCTTGATTGCTGACCTCCATATGATCAGCTGCTCTATGCATATAATTTAACTCGGGTATGCATCTCTGTTCCAGAAATGTCATAATGTCTGGCTTTCATTCCAATTAAAGACTGAATAACTCAATTGCTTCAATCAGTTTCTTCTAAATCTCTGCTCACTGTCTATTTAAGGCAGACTATAAAATCTGCAGGACAGGGTACCTGACTTAAAATGGAAAACTACAGAGAAAGTTAATTTAAGGTGCTTATACTACTGGCCACAGGAGGTTAAAATCCAGGGATTTATTTTGCCATGTGTCATATTTTTACTGTTGTCTTGTTCCCATCTTAATTCGTACTTCATTGCCTCCTAGACACTCACTATGATTTCTGTATACCTTAGCAGGACTCAATGCATATCAGGCAAAGTGACCTCCCTGAAATGCTTGGGTGAGTATTTTTCTCAGAGACAAATTCATGTATGAATTTGAAACGACCTTTCAGTCTAACACAAGTATTTACAGGCTATCACAGAATGGTAACAGCAAAAAAATAGTAAAGTCAGAAATGTCTGACAGGTGACACTGATGTGCTTATATAGGATGAAAAGAAAACTGCAGATTTACATAGGAATATTGTAAATAAAAATTATCAATATGGAAATTCTTAATATAAAAGATGGTTTTGGTTCAAGGACCACACTTGATATTGAACATTCTCAATAAAAAATAATAAAATGTTACATGGAATAGGAGCTCAGGGATGTGAACCTGCAATTGGAATACTCATCCATAAAAAAGGATTAAACCTCTAACTAGGAAATCAGAGACCAGTCAGTCTCTTCCATTTTTAATTGTCCAACTTCATAAATACCCTGAATGTTGTATTTGTCTGTTATCACTGCTTCTGTGGTTTAAGTGTCTACTTTCTTGGTGTAATTGTGAAAATATCTCAAACAAACACCCACCCCATAGTGCATTCTGATTTAGCTATAACTGACATGGCAATTCTGAGCATTGTTTTTTCTTGCAGAGTGTGGCTCCCGCCCACAGTTTAGCACCCGCATAGTGGGAGGCAATGAGTCATCGGAGGGGCAGTTTCCCTGGCAGGTCAGCCTGCATTTTCAGAGAGAGCATCTCTGTGGGGGATCCATCATAACAACCCAATGGATACTCACGGCTGCCCACTGTGTTTACGGGTACGATTCTCTCTGGCTGATAACTTAGAGAGTAAAAACTCTCCTTCTTTCACCTCCCTAAAAATCTCTGGGAGCCAAGAGTGTTATTGTACCAGATTATTCTGTTTTTCATAAAGGAAAGATATCATTGAGAAGCCTGCATGTACACAGAGAGATAACCATTAGAGGGTACCTGGTAGTAAACTGTAAAAACTTGATTATTTGGTTTAATTCAATTCAGTTCAATTCAATTCATTTTTATAAAGTGCCTTTCACAACAAGGTTGTCCCAAGGCACTTAACAATGCAAGTGACCATACATGTTGTGAATACAGAACAGAAAAGACCAGAAGACAACGGGGGAGAGGAACTAAAAACTCCTTATTAAGGAGAAAAAAAACCTCTAGGGGTCCAAGGTCAACTGGCTGCCCAACCACCTTAGGCATGCTAATATTATATAATTTAAAAAAGGAAATAAATGAATGAGGGTATTAATCCATTCAGCCATCATGTCTTCTGTGTGCAGATCTCTGTAGACCAGTAAATTCCTCCTAAACAATAGCTATATCCATGATGTCCCTCTTGGATCTATGGCAGTGATGCAGCATCCAACTCGGATGGTACCCAGCCCGGGCACCATCCGGACATGTGGGGAGAAGAATAGGATAGTTTGGTCAGAACAGATGTATCTACCTGGTGGGCCAACACAGAGGCACACAATGGCATGTACAGCAGCACCAGCAGCCATGGTTGCAGCAGGCTATAATGTAAGGTGTGAGTAGGCTAGGCTGAAGTAATAGGTCTTCAATCTGGATTTGAATAATGAGATTGACTTGGCATCCCGAATATGGGGTAGGAGACTGTTCTATAGCTAGGGGCCCTGTAACTAAAGGGCTTACTGCCAACTGTTTTTTTTATTAATGCTTTTAACTTTTATGTTCACCTGTGCTCATTAACTGGATGACTGATTGTTTGCCATGTCTAGGTTTTCACATGTTTTTTAGCTGTAAAAAAAGGCATTTATGTAGGAGAAGAATAAATTAAGCATTTAACATTTTCTTAGACTGTTACAACCAATTTAGCTGAACAGTCAAAAGCCAAACACAAATTTAACAATTAACTGCTTGAAATATAGTAATTGTTAAGCTGGTTACACAAATAATCATCTCTACCTTTTCTTGCTAAATACAAATAAATTCACAGTTTCCATTAAGGATTTGATATTTAACCATATATTTTTATTATAAAGGATCAAGTAATGGTTTATATCATGCTGAAAAGAGAAGAAAGGAAACATGTCTCAGCTGTGGAGCCTTCAGCATGGAATAAACCTTGTTCCTTTGCAGACTATGCATGCTGACGCAGCTACCGACTTGAACTATTTTTATTGTATAAAAGCTACAAATAGGAAATGGCCAAAACCCTAAACACATCTCTTAGTTCAGAACCTGCATACTATGAGTTTTTCCTTTTTCCCAGTTTTGTTGTCTGCAATGCTACAAAGTGTGTTATCTCTAAAAGGATCTGCTGGATTGAAAAAATCCTTTCCCTAAAAGCTGTTAGTGTACCTTGAAATATTTCTCAATCAGTTATTGCTGTCAATGTCCTGTAGGACAATGAATAAATAGCAATTGTCTGGATTTCTCAGGTTTGCATCTCCTTCTTTTTGGGTGGTATATGTGGGCATCATTGACCAACCAGTTCCAGGTGTGTCATCTCATGCTGTGTTGAAGATCTTTTACCACTGGAAGTACAAACCCAAAGCCCTGGACTATGACATTGCTCTAATGAAACTTAAAACCCCACTGAACTTCAATGGTAATGTTCCCATGTGTTTTTATCATGTTTGTTATACAGTACCTCATTACAACAAAGTGTATTTTAATGCAGTGCAGACGTTTGGTGTTTCTATTAACTCTGAATGGCTGATCTATGACAGGCATTGGTAAATTTAGTCCTTAATGATCTTGTAGAGGTTTAATTTAATTTATGATCTTAATTGCTTAATTAAGTTAATTTAAGGAATACAGAAGTCAAGGCTCCAGGTATCTATCCCTCATCTGAAAAAAATGTTTCAATTACTGAATTGTTTGAAACAGATGGTCTGAACTATTCGTGAAAAACATAACTTTGCCCAATGCAGATACTACTGGCACAAGCAGATTTTTTAAAAAGTATTAGGGAAACAACAAAACACTGCAAAAATGAACAACAGAAAGAATACTGATTCTTTCAAATGAATATTTGGCAGGACATGTTTCAAGCAGATTTCTTTGATTCATTTTTAGCTATTTAAAAATTATTTGAATTCTAAAACAAGAATCTGCCACAAAACCTCATATACCATTAAATTTTAAACACATACTGTACTATTTTTTCCTCTAGTTGGAAATCTTAGCTTGATTTCATTCCTGATATAGTATGTATCTGACACCATTTAGCTCATGCTTTATGAGGTAAGGGTGGCAGGGTGGCACAATGACACAGAAGAAGTTATTTCTTCTGCAGATGACTTAGAATAGACTTTATTCTTCATATATTTCTAGATGCATGTTTGCAATAATAGTTTTCACATTTTGTTGTTTTAGTCAGCTGTGCTGGATTTCACTTGATGTCATTTTGTAATTTCACTAAAATGAAACTCCACAGGAAGGGTGTGAATACATTTGCAAGGCACTGTACAAAGATAAAAAACAGCTAATCATACCTTTAGAAGGACGTGTAGGTTGCAGCACTAGATTTTCATTAGATTATTTATGTATCTCACTCCATGTCCCATATGAAGGTCTTGTGGAACCCATCTGCCTGCCAAACTATGGGGAGGAGTTTGAAGATGGGGAGCTGTGCTGGATTTCAGGCTGGGGAGCAACAGAAGATGGTGGTAAGACTAAGAAATGGTAAAGACCTGCAGAATAGGAAGTCATTCATGCTGGCCAAGTGAAGTAAACCCCAAAGTATGCTGTATATTTTTCATCATTTAAAGTAGAGGTGACCAATTCCAACCTTGAATGCCTTTGGTTCAGCACATGTTAGGGGTTAGGGAGCCCCAACAAGTGCTGGAGGAGATCAGTCCAGCAAGTGATTCAGGTCAGGGGAGCTCCAGTTCTGTCCTGCATACCTTCTTCTAGCGGGTGTTTTAGTACCAGGGGTCCCAAACCAGTCCTTTGTTGCCCCAAAGTGATGGAAAACTGTTAACCAGCTTAAGTTAAGCCAATCATAAATTCAACAGGGATGTTACGAGCTGTACAACAATGAAAACATGCTGTCAAAGCTGCACTCCAGATGGACACCTGCTGGACTTGAGGCTTCCCTGACTTAAAACATTTCTTGCTGGTTGTCTAGCTTTTTAATATTTACAGATATTCAGATGAGCCTGATCCCTGATCTTAATAAATGATAGATCAACTGTTAATGAAATGCATTTTTTTTCTTTTAAATGCAAAGGTCTAAGAAACAATACAAACACACCAAAGTTTTTGTTCTGTGACTTTGTGCACTGGTTATGAAGTTATGATCTTAAGCGCAACTACTCATTTATTCTTTTTAGGTTAGCAGGTATCTATATACAGTATATATCAATAATATATATTGTCCTGTTTTAAAAGACAAATCAATTGTTCAAAAACGTTTTTAATGATTTATTATTTTGCTGATTGATTTTACTTGACAGGTGAAGCAAGTATGTCAATGAACTATGCCCGAGTTCCTCTCATCTCTAACAAAGTGTGCAGTCAGCCTACTGTATACCAAGGCTATATCACACCCAGGATGATCTGTGCTGGCTATTTGGAAGGTGGTACCGATTCTTGTCAGGTAATGGTTGATCAAACTGGAAAAAATATGGAAACAAGTATAAGTATTTTATAATAAGTATTGAAAAGTAAAGTTTTTATAAATGTAGTATTAGACTTCATCATGTATTGTTCCAAATGCTTTAGAACACACACGAAGTGAGATTACTCAGTAAACCAGATAACTTTTGAAAACATGTTAACAAAAGTCAGGATTTGAATTGAAAATTGAATTGCATCCAGTTAAGTAACTACAGTAAAACAACATATCCTCTATTCTTAACCTGCTCCAGAACTGGTTAAATCAAACTTTACCTGAATTTGAGTTTAAGAGCACCACTCACAGACCAATCAATCCTCTGCAATTAATGTCGCTTTTCTTCAGGGTTGCAGTTGTCATAGTTCAGTGTTAAAAGAAACTCAACCTCTCCGCATAGGGAAGAGATTTCTTGTGACTGGTGTGTTTTTTTACTGTGTTTTTCAGTAAAGTGACAGTGTGCTGTGCAACGAGGATAGTGGTGTATGCAATAAAAACAGTATTCACTGTAAATGTAGCTTCTGTTCCTGTAGTTATACACCATGATTGAAGTTCTTGCAGGAGTTTCTAATATTGTTGATGCTCTAGACTGCTGGCCATCCCACCCCCCTAAATACCTCACAGGGACAAACAACCAGGAACAGAAAAAAAGATTGATTTTAATTGAAAATCAATTCACAGCATCAATGTGCAGTTAAAAAGAAATTTTTACCTAGTTATGGTCTTTCTGCAACTTGGAAGGGGCGGATAACCTACACTGCTTGATTCACACCACAAAAATATTGGGGAAAAGTCAGTATCCCAATAATAAAGGAATTTTATTGTCTAGATGATGATTCTTTCTCCTACAGTTATGCTCTGCTCACGCTTCTTCTTGTTGGTTAAAACTAGGGAACATTTTCATCCATTGATTGCTCTAGACTGTATTTTACAGTACCACTGTGGAAGATAATGTTGTATTTTGTCTTCACTGCTGCCATATCCTCCCATTGTGGTCCAGCTACTGTTAATACATAAATTACATAAAGCATATTGTAGAACTACACAGTAGCTTAAATAGAAGCTCAAATTGAATGCAATAATAATATAAGCATGGATTTTAATTAAGGGAATGGGCAGAAACACAGTGAATTAGTTTTTATTATGCCAGAGCCAAGGCATACATTCATACAAACAAGACATAGTGGCAAACTGAGGTTAGTCAAATCTTATGCTGTACTGATTTCTACGCTTGCCACACAGGAACAGTTAAATGACTGAAAATAGACATGAATTTATTACTGATTTTTTTGCAGTGACTATCGTATAGCTGCTCCCTATTACAACAGCTTTTATCCTCATAGTTTTCTATAAAGAACTGTAATTCATGGTGGATTAATATGCATGTTCCTTCACTATTGTGAAGGAGCAGATAAAGGATTTGTTGCCCGACCCTCCTGCTTACTGAAGTGTGGTATGAATCTGGATAACTTGATTCAGGGATAATCCTGAATTAGTCAAACCTGCTTTGTAAAAGAGCCCCAGTACCTTTTCTATTTATTGTTTATATACCTTTGTGGAAATTTTTGAAAGCTTTATTTATTGGAACAGCATTAAGATGCTTCTCTGCGCACAAAAAATTACATTAAAAATATGATAATAAAAAAACACGGTCATCAATTGAAAAATGCTAAATTGACCACATGAGAGTAGCTGCGAGAGGCCTAACTTGGCTGTGTGCATTATTATTGCTACTCGATAATTGATATCTATGCTCTCGTAGTCTCATACCTCACTGCTCATGCTCGCTCGACACTCAATCTCTATGACTGGGCTTGTTGAATCGTTGTATTTTACTTCATTCCCCCCTTATAAAATATATATATATACATCAGTACTGCCTATTTTTTTTCAAATACTGTCACGATCGCTACTCCCCCTCTTAAGGGCGCTCCGGCGTTTGCCCGAGGCTTCTCATTGAATCCTGCTTCGTGAGAGCCCGGGGTCCTGCCGCGTCTGGCTCCGTCATGGTTTTAGTTTCCTGTTCCTGATTCCCTGCCCCGCCGGTCCCGACCCAGTTCTTGTTTTTAATTACTTCGGATGAATCCCCTGGCCTTGGACTCATTTTGGATTCCCCCTTTGAATATACAGTACCCTTGGATTGTTCACCCTGGATTCACTCACCCGGGATACCTGCACTCCTCGGACACGCCTCCTGTCTCCAGACCCTTCTCCTGCATGACTATTTTCCCTATTGTATCCTCACAATTCCGGATCGTGTCATCCAAATAGGGCCCGGAAAGAACCGGATCGTGACACATACAATGTCAGGGCAGATCTTTCCTTTCTAGATGTACATGCATCCATTGCCATGACATTGTGCGTTCCACGGTTACAAAAAGATGTGATTGATGTTTTTGTACAAGTGATAGTTACAATTATACATATAAAACAATCCTAATCCTACAAATAAATAAAGTCCTACCCCAGGACCCAAACGCAGACCTCAGCCATGTGGAGATCTATCGTCAGGATCTTGGAATAGCAATATTGACCCAACTCTGATTATCATTTTTTGGCTGATAGATATGCCAACACCCGGATGTATTGATACCATATCCCCAGTAATGCTCCTCAGGCCTAACAAGCACACTGTTGGTCCACCTTAAAAAGCATCAGACACAGAAACGGTAACAACATTATTCTGTTCACTCAGTCTCTGGTCCAGTGGCTCGGTGACAGTGCGACGAGTAGATCCAGCGATATCATCCTGTCACTCAGATGGCAGAGTCAGTAGTTAGTGGCACTTGATATGGTCCCTCCCAGCAGGGTTGCAACATCTGGCAGGGTATCTCTTCTTCACCCACACCCATTCGCCAGGTATCCGGTCATGTCTTCCCTCTACTGGAGATCCCCAAGTGTCCAGCACCTGTTCACGAGCCCTGTGCACCGCTTCAGTTAACAAACCTACAATACTGCAATAGAGAGTCAGTAAATTCAACAGTCCTTTTAGCCAAACTTGGCCTCCAGGGAGTTTCTTTGGCTGCCCATGATGATCTGAAATAGGTTCAGTCTCACAATTCCGTTTGCTCCAGCCCGCAAACTGCACAGGACCGGAGGTAGAGCATCTACCCACAGTGTTCCTTCGGTTGATATTTCCTTAGTTGGTCTTTCAGACTGTGGGTGATGCGGGCAATGTAACTTCCACCTCACCCCTAGTGAGGTGATTACAACCTGGCACACCTTCACAGTGCAGTATGGCCCTAGATCAGAATCCAATGGGCAGGGCAGTCCGCACCATGGGATCATCTTTGTCATACACCTGGGTATCCGCCAGCATGAATTTCTGGCTACAAAATGGCATTATGCTGTGAGGGCATGCAGGGCATCTGGTGTGCTGAAGGCCCCACATTCTTTTCACATTTTTTCTAACCACATCTATTAGAAGCCTCAACCTGAATTCTCCCTTTTCCCCAATAGACGTTTCACAGGGGTCTCAGACTCCTGCTCTCCCAGTGCTGCTCGCCTGGCATGTGCACGGTTGTTCCCTTGAGTTACGGGGATTATTTATTGTGTTATTTACACCTTACTACAGCTACTTCAGTCGGCAGCTGTAAAACTACAAATCAATTCAGAGACAAATCCAGTATTCTTAACTGGAGTCCCTGCCATTGTGAGAGAATCCTATTTCTCCATAGCCATCCAGAATTGTGGCCTACATGCAACAAATAGATACATTATATACATATACAGTAACCCTTTTACATCTTTCTTTTTACAATCTTCCATCAGGACTCTAAACTGGTTTGCTGCGCTGAGGCAGTGAAGGGGCATTTTCAGGTCATTAGCACCTCGAATTCTGTTGTAACAGCTCAGCCTGTTCTCTGTTCTCCCTCATGCACCAGAGAGGACCCATCAGTAAATAGTAAATGTTCACGGTCCCCCACCTTTTGGCTACAGCGTCTAATGATATAATAGTATCCTACCGGATGGTGCCTACCTCCATGCTCCTGCGTCAGCACAGCTGCCCAAAACCCATTTTCCTCACTTACATACAAAGGAATGGTTGATCCATCTGAGGAAACCCCAGTGTCAGCACCTGTAAGAGAGCTTATTTCAAATTATTACAGGTGGCTTTGCTGCTGGAACCAAAGCAATCTTGTCCTTTGACTGCTCTCCCCCCTTAAGCAGATCTGTTAAGAGTTGTGCTCACCCCATAAAAACATTGCACCCAGGCCCTGTTAAAATTACATACTGCTAAACACAAAAGGTCCTTATCATACCTGCTTAATATTAGACCCTCTAAACCCTGAAGCAACTCAGACTTTTGGGTTTCCTCATCAGGGGAAGCACAGAGAATATCATCAACATACTGAGTGATCACAGTCAGTTGAAGCCACATGATACCCTGTCCTGGATAGTCATTCCTTGTAATGCTGCATAACATCCCAACCCAATAGATCTGGGATAAAACCACCCACATTTGCGTGATAAGTGCACGTGAATGTTAAAATCAATGTTAAAATCTGGTACTCAGCTAGTAAAACTTGCTGCCTCAATACTCCTGTGGTCTCCTGCCATCTCCCCATATACATTACTCTATAGCACACTGTGAAGTGAGACAAGCATGACAGTAGTGCTCCAGTATCCCATAACAGAGAAACCGACACACCATTTACAGTAAATTTTAGGTTTAACTCCTTTTATGCACTGGACTGGGACAGACTTGGGGAGGCTACAAGGGATTTACAGGATCTAATCTTTAGGTAAACAGCTCTCACAAGACTTTATTCTCCCCAGATAGAGCTCTTACCTGGGTGATAAATTTTTCACTGTTCTTTCCTGTCAGTTGAACCACAGGGCAGGTCCCTGCTTCCTTCATCCTGCATGCGCCTTCTGCAGTATCTGGTTTCAAGCCATTCAAATAAATTCAACTTTTGTTTCAACTATTACAACTTAATGTATATAAATACAAAAACTGTTTATCTAACTCCTTAAAGTCCACCTGTACTATACTTATACATTTCAGACTCTCTTATATTTTCCAATCTCATTAATTTAGTTTTCGTCAAGACTCTTTTGTTCCGTCTCTAGCCAGTCCCGCTGGCTAAACACACTCACACACACTTTTTAGTAATCACATTCCAATTTCTCTTTCTTTTTTCTCTCATGTATCTGCCACCACTGGTGTTGGCTGCACACCAGGGTGGCAGCTACATCCTTGTGCTTTTGCCAATACTCATATGCTTTCTTTACAGGCATCTTCGCCGCAAACTCCTTCTGACAAACGTAACAGAAAGAATAAGGCTCTGGATCCCGAGATAAAGTTAAACAGATGCGTTTATTGCATGCAAGGAACAATAAAGCCAAAGTCTTGTTTCCCACAGGAAACAAAGAAACCAAAGTATTGTTCAAAGTGCCGGTACAAACTTTAGGTCTATATAGCCCTTCCTTGCCGCTTCTGACGTCACTCGTTATTATGGTGAAGGGGGGAGGTCACGTGTTTGGCCAGTTTACAGCTTTTTGGCTAAATGGTCAGGGATTAAGTCCCCAGGGAGTTTCCTAGCTGCATCTGGAATCCTTATCAGTTCTCCCTTTCCTTCCATAAAAAGCTGGGACTGGTGTTAGTGGGACCAGCGAGGGGTGCCCACCCTGTGTTCTGTCTGGGTCCTAATGTCCCAGTATAGTGGCAGGAACACTATACTATAGTGGGTGCAGCCTGACAGTGTGTTTTCTGTAGTGCATCTGTAAAAGTTAGTGAGGATCTGGGGACATATCTTAGCCTCCTTCAACCATCTTAGGAAGTACAGGCGCTGTTGTGCTTTCTTAATTAGACAGGTGGCGTTGAGAGACCATGTAAGGTCCTCAGTGATATGGACGCTAAGGAATTTGAAGTTACTGACCCTTTCCACCTGTCTCGTTGATGTGGATGGGGCACGACCGTTTTGCAGTTTTCTGAAATCAACGATCAGCTCCTTGGTTTTGCTGATGTTGAGGCTGAGGTTGTTGTCTTCACACCACGTTGTAAGCAGATTGACCTCCTCCCTGTAAGCCCTCTCATCATTTTCTGTGATCAGACCTACAGCTGTTGCAGATGGTGGTGTCGAGAACCAGTGCACTGTTTCTTGACTAGTTTCTCTGGAATGATGGTGTTAAAAGCTGAGCTGAAGATGAATAGTAGTCTTGCATATGTGTTCTTTTTATCCAGATGGGATAGGGCAGCATGTATGGCAATGGAGATTGTGTCATCTGTGGATCTGTTGGGCTGGTAGGCAAATTGGTACAGGTCCAGAGTGTCTGGCATGGTGTCCTAAATGTGCCCCATCACCAGCCTTTCGAAGCACTTCATGATGACAGGTGTTAGTCATTAAGGCATGTCACTGTGGTTTTCTTCTGTATTGAGATCATGGTGTTTGTCTTGAAGCAGGTGGGGACTACAGCTTGGGCCAGAGACATATTGAGAATGTCTGTGAATACACCTGCCAGTTGATTGGCGCAAATTCTGAGGACGCGACTTGGAATGCTGTCAGGTCCTGCAGCCTTGCCTGTGTTCACTTTTAGCCGAGATCTCCTCACCTCATCTGCAGACAGTGAGAGCACCTGGTCAGCTGTGGAGGGTGCAGCTCTGTTGACTGGTTCTGTGTTGGTGGCTTCAAACCAAGTATGGAAGGTGTTGAGCTCGTTAGACAGGGAAGCATCATGGGCAGGTGAACAGACGTTCTTCCTTTTGTAGTCTGTGAGGGCCTGTATACATTGAAACATGTGCCTTGGGTCTTTAGCGGTGAAGAGTTCCTCTAATTCCTGTTTGAGTGTGTTTCTTGCGTGTTTAATACCATTCTTTAGATTTAGTTAAGATGAGACGTTAAACCAAGGTCCCAACTCTCAGTGGTCATTAAAGATCCCCATTAAAGTGAGTTTGCCTCTTCTACATATTTTTTATATTTGGAGTTATGGATGTGAGTTGCAGTCTCATGTTTGACTCTGCATCCAATCTGTTGCGATACTTAGTTTTTGTGGACACATACGACGAAAATCCGCTTTCACATACGTGGTCACAAACGGGAGAAGAACAGAAAGAGCTTTTTCTGATAAGCTGTTTGTAAGGAAGAGTCTGAAGTGAGGTCAATTAATTTCTCCTATTCTTGTGACGTGAAGTTTTTTAATTGATTTTCATATTTCTTCTTTTTCTTTTTTTTCACTCGTGGTTGCGGTAATTTCTAAGCGATCTTTCTACCTAGTAACATGCTATTTTCTCATTGCGAGAGTTTTTGAGATTTGGCAAACATTTTCATCTCCAAACAAGATGGAAGAGCACATAGCAGAGGAAATTTCATCCGACACCTTTGAGGTTCTGTACCTTCTGGCTCTAGCAGCAAAAGTACAGAAATGTATTCAGAGAGTGAATTTGAAGATGACATTTCTGACTTCTTGGAGCCATGCAAAGCCACCAACTCACCTTTCTGTTATTGATAGCAAATTTTTATTTTTCTTGTATTCTATGTGAGAGCTCACGGAACCCCTATTTGAGAACCACTGATCAAGGCTGTACTTTACAGAACCGTAAAAGGAAGACTGTAACCATCATAAAGCTGCTCTGGGTTTTGACTGTATTGACAACAGGAAAGTAGACAGTGCTGTTGCTGTGATAATGCCTATGAGTCTCCTTCAATGTGCAAATTATTCTATAGTTCTGACATCCACACTGTACTATCTGTGTTCACAGCTTCTGGAGTGTTATTAAGTATTTGGTCTTGATTGCCATTACATGAAGCTCACAAAATTAAGCTCACAGAAAGTGTACAAGAACTGAAGACAGTAATGTTTCCTAAAAGCTTTTCCCGACAGTCCACTTTGAGAAAGCATATGGTTCTGATCGAAATTATGGAAAGTATAATTCAAACCTTTGATCTTGAATTAAACATCTTTAAGTAACACCAAAGTAGATAATATAAAGTACATAAAACACTCACTCGTAATTTAATAACTTTTGTCTTCATAGCTTTTTTATGGGTCTGTATGTGCAGTTAATATAATTTAATGAACTATTTACAGAAGTTCTTACAACTTTTTACTTTTTAGTACTTGATGTAAAGCTATGCAAAAATACATCTTGTTGCTTTTTGTGCTGTACTAGTATGTTTAATGTTATAGGGTGGACTACAGTACCCAGCTTTAAGTGCTTTTGAGAAAATAGTTTTATAACATATTTTTGCCACCCAAAAAAAAAATGTCTTAAAAAAGATTAGACCAATTTTTCTGTCTGAACATTGTGTTCTTGTTCACAGGTAAAAAAGTAAATATTGAAACGTGGTAAATATTAACCCTTTTTGAAAAAATGTTAAAAAATGTCTCCTGGGTACTCCTGCTGTTTGAGTTAGGCTTTGCAGCAGATGCTATCTAATGGTGTACTGGTGTGCAATGTGACTTAGGGAGACAGTGGTGGCCCACTGGCCTGTGAGGATGCCTCTGTTTGGAAGCTGGTGGGAGCAACAAGCTGGGGTCAGGGATGTGCAGAGCGTAACAAACCAGGAGTCTACACCCGAATCTCTCAGTGTCTCGACTGGATCCATGAACAGATGGAGGTAGGCAGTTAAGGCAGAAGAGGGTTTGTCTGTTGAAATAATTATTTGTATTTCAGTTCATAACGTTTTTAATTCAACATTTGTAAAATTTAAAGTAAACCCTACTTTTTACTGCAGAAAATTATTAGTTCCCACTTCTTACAGCACTTGGAAGCAAAGTAATGTACTGTAGGTGCACTCATCAGATTTTAGAAAGAGACTGGATTGTAAAAATAAACCAGCACCCAAACCTCTCTGTGGCAAAAGTCATTTGATGAAGCAGGCATACAATTATTTACAGCTTCCTTTAAGAGAAACAGCATGCCCTCAAACAAATGAGAAGGCCCCTGGGTTGCCACATGTTGAAATGATTCCACATTTGTTGAGTAGGCTGGAGGAACATGATGGATGGGTAAGCAGCTGTCACACATGTTTATTTTTTCATAAACCATCAACAGCATCCAAAAATTCCTAATGCAAAAAAAATGTAACAAATGTTCATTTCATTTGCATGCTGGCTGTCCTTTTGGAAAATGACACCCTAGTCTTTTGCAGAAAGGACCATGCAATTCCAAAGGATGCTTTTGAATCCTATGAAAGTAATCGAAAACATATTTAACAACAGTGTTATCTTTCCTAAGAGATGTTTATTACGTTAAAAAACTATTTCAGTAGGTACATATCTAATATTAACATTATGATTGGTACTGGAAATGGTTTACAAACCTATGTTTAAAACTTGAAAAAATCATACATGGATATTTCATAAATTATGAACAGGATTCTCATGTGCACATAACCCACAAGGCAGCAGACTAACTTTATGTTCCTATTGTCATGTAGTAGGGTCTAAAATTTGATTATCTGAGATACAGGAGATTTTCACTTTTTATCCTTAAGCGTAATTGTATCTGAACTTGTAGCCCTCTTATTCTTGTTTTGATATTGAGTGCTGGTGTTTAAGTTAGAATGTCATAGAGAAAATTAAATGAAGGTTGTAAGTTTGTTGGCAGCATTAAAAGCTTGTTATCTTTATTTTTTGTTCTTCAGAGAGAAGAGGCACTGCATCCAACAACATTTAGTAATGGGACTTAAGTAAAATGGCTTTATTTTTAATAGCTGATTTTAGATTTTGTAATTTTGTCACGTACTTTTTCTGAACACACACATACAGTACAGAGCCTTGCAAAAATATTCACACCCTTACACAGTTTTTACATTTTATTTTAAAGCTTAAATTCATTTCACTTTGAAATTAATGTTATATACTCTGAACAAATATTTGCTGTGGCAAACCTAAATTAATTTACAATTATTAATACAATTACTTGAGTGTGTAATAATAGTGGTTCATATGATTTCAGAATAAGTACCTATCTCTGTTCCTCAAGCAAAGATTCAACCATGACGACCAAGGAGCTTTCAAAACGATTCAGAGATAAAGCTGTATAAAGGTACAGATCAGGAAAAGGGTATGAACAATTATACTCTTCACATCTATGTGAGCATGGTGAAGCCGATCATTAAGAAGTAGAAGGCACCCAGACACTACCAGACAGACCATCTCTCTAAACTTGAGCAGCAAGCAAGGAGGAAACTCAAGAGGGATGTCTGTCATGAGGCCAATGGCGACTTTGAAAGTGCTACAGAGTTCAATGGCTGGGATGGGAGAAAATGTCCATTTGTCAACAATATCCCAGTCAAACCGCAAAGTGAGATTGTGTGGAACCAGAAAAAAAAACATTTCAAATCCCATGTTTTGAAGCAAAGCACCTAAGTAATACTGCAAATATTTAAGTACTTTTTTTTTTGTCTGAATGCAAACTGTTATATCTGGTGCAAACTAAACAGTACATAGTCAACACCACCCCTTCTATAAAGCTTGGCAGGTGGCAAAAGTATGCTCTAGTTCTGCTAGACCAGTAAGCTTGAATGAATGGAAAAATAAATTGAGAAAAGTGAGACAGAGAAAAATCTACTTCAGTCCTAAACAAGGAACTTTCAGTAGGATAATGGTCCAAAGCTGAAGGCCAAAACTGAAGCATGCAAAAAAGAATGTCCTTGAGTAATCTATTGAGAATCTATGGATTTACTTGACATAAACACTGCTGCCCATAAGCAATCCCGAGGCAGCTTGACCATAACTGCCGAGGTGAGTGGACACAAATTGCACCAAGTGTGTAAATTTGGTAGACCCAGAAAGACTTGCAGCTGTAATTGCTGCCAAAGGTGCTTTAGCCAAACATTGAGTTCATACTAATGCATTGGACATATTTCATTTTTCTCTTTAGTTTTTTTTCTGACATGTACTAAACTTGTCTTACAGTTTGAAATATTCATTTGGAACTTTCAGATTTTTAGAAATAAAATATAGAGTTTAAAAAAATGCATTATTTTGTCATTTTTGTAACAAAATGGGACACTATAGGAAGTGTCTGAATACTTTTTTTAATAATTACTCTTTTTTACTTTAGGACAGTTTATTTATTTTTTTCTCTGCAATCTTTAGGAAATGCTAAATTACTGAAAACAAGAGGCCTGAGTGCCATGAAGTTTGGGTGCACTTCAATCAGTCAGACTAACTCCTGGTTTGCTGTACAGCAGCACTGCCCCTCTGCCGGTGAGAGATTCATTCCTTCTTCAACATGACACGTAACATAAGGAATGATTCTGTCATCTGGGCATTTACATACGTAGGTCCTTATTCTACTAATTGTGTTGCAATGTGGTACAGCTATGAGTAATTATATTATGGCTAGCAACATCTTATTACCTTCAATGGGCTGTGTGCTGCTGTAACATTGCAGCATTGTGCAAAACTTCTGTGCATACCTAAACATCTAATTACATCTGTTTTCAGTGGAACTGTTATTTTGGAATGAACTGTATTGGTTACCATTGATGCAATAAAATATTATGAACATGTATCATTTAATATTAAAGTCTATAAATGGTAATGTGACTGTAATAAAAACAGCATAAAGACATTATTATTCCTTCTTTTTATCTAAAATTTTTCAAAACTGAATTTAACAATTTCACCCAAATAACACAAATGTAGTGAGCTCTGTTTCAGTTTTAATGAAAGCAATGAGTTTTTCCTGTATATAATGTTTTCCATCCTAGAGGAATTGACTATAAGAGTTCATAAATAACCAAGTAAAATATCTACTTCTGCCTTATAATGTCTTGCACATATGTAGATATTTCTTTGAGAAAGTTTAAAACATGACTTTCTCCTTTGGTTCAGTTAGAATTCAGATGAATCTGCATCTTTTTTGCCTTTAACTTTGTGAAGCATGCAGTCTTCCTTTATCTCTTAGCTGCACAAATTTAAAATTTTGGAGGACATTTCAAGTGAAAATTGGAAAAATAATTTATTTTGTACTTTAGATCCAACAGTCAGCACCTTTGTGGAGTTTGCATGTTCTTTCCATGTCCATATGGATTTCTCCCAGTGCTCAGGTTTCCTTTCACAGTCCAAAGACATACTGTCCATCTGTGTATGCGTGTGTGTGCCGGAGAAGTGTCCTTTACAGTGTAGTCCTGCCTTGCATTCTGTGTCTGCAAGGTAGGCACTGGCTCACTGTCACCATCAGAGGATAAAACAATCAGAGAAGCTGGCTGAATACTGTGCCACAGGGCACAGTGCCTCTTACAGTTCTTCTGACAATATTACCAGGAGCGTCTTCTTTTTCCTCAATGTAACCCATAAAAATATTGACTAGTGTCTCATTAATGTGGCTTAGCAACAATAAAACATAAGAAAGGCCACAAATATGAATTATGGCTGCTGCCCTGTACAGGTTACAAGAATTTATTAGTTTCAGAACTTATCTGACCATGCAGTTATCATGGGTCAGCATATCCAGATTTCTGGTGGAGATGATGTTCAGATTTGTCATCTTGATGATTTTCAGAAACAAGGCTTCCAGACTCCTACCTAAATTTGAACAACTATTTTGAATGTTTTAAACTGCCAAGAATAAGAATTGAAATCTTCAGCTGAAAGTTATTCTTGATATTGTTACAAATGTGGGGTTAAGAAAATGGAGAAAAACCAGGAATTGACCAAGTGGATTAATAAATAAGTAAATTAAATTAACACAACCCCCAACCTATGACGAGTGGTTGGAATAGTCAGGGGCATATGAGTTCTTTGTTCTCTGGCACAGCTTAGTTGAAATAGTAATTCAGGCACACTGGATTAAACAAATATTTATTAACAGTGATAACGCACTCTCTACACTACACACAACATAAAACATGCAGCACACCAATTACCTTATGTAAGTTTACAGACAAGGTGTACCTCAGCATTTCCGTCTCACAGTAGTATTCAATCTCATTTCCGTCTCCTCAGCAGTATTCAATCTCACAACATATAAAGGCCAGAATAAGGACAAACTGCCTTCTGAACTAAATGGAACACAACCTGCAATTTCCCTGTAAACCCTGCAACCACATGAATAGGAACCTACTGTATGCCCCTATTCTAAAAAATGCACCAGGAGAGGCTGTTTTTTCCCGAGGGAATCTTCACTTAGGAAATCAGACTTTGTTGAAAAAATACAGAATAGCAAGCTCTTTTATCAAGGTACAAATACTAAGCTCCGATCTGGTCTTTATGGGTGATCTTGACAAGGACCCCTCCGCGGTACATGCATTTTCCTCTGTGTCATCCTGTCTTCTCTGTCTTGAGCTGTTCTCCATCCCTGTGTCTGTCTTCCCTCTGTTCTCCTGTTCTGCCCTTCATCTTCTTATATGGTGTCTTTCTGGACTACAGATTGACACTTAATCATTTACTCAGAACTTAAAGTAAATGAAAGAAAACATTACATTTGCTTTGATCAATGAATCTGGACCACCTACATCCCCTCAAACAATCCCTTTACTTTGAAGCTGGAAATGCTTACACTGCAAGTGTAACATGGGTTATACATTTTATCAAGATTCACTTCCTAGTCACCTACAACATTCTGAAACAATAGTTTAGAAAATACAGAATAACTGATAACATGAAAGTTCCATGATTAAATACTTAATCATAGAGTTAGTAGTCTGCTACTACTTTACCAATACTGGATGTAATGAGCCAATCCCTTTGGTAGGAAATTAACACTGCTTTGGACTGTGTTTATCATTCCTGTGGAAAATGGTACTCATATACAGTGCCTTGCAAAAGTGTTAAGATCCTTTCTATGGTGTCCCATTTTGGGAAATTAAAAAATAATGCATCACATTTTATGAAAAACCCAAATGTTCAAATTTAAAACCTCTGCACACTGGCTAGGTTCTGTTTGGCCTATTCTTCTTGGCAGATGTAAGCTTTATCAAGTTGCTTGGAAATTGCTCATGGACAGGAGGTTTCAAGTCTTTCCACAGATTCATCATAAAGTTAAAGTCAAGACTCATGAAAGGGCTACCCAAGAACATTTAATTTCCTATTTTGTTTTGGTTTTATGCTTTGGATTATTATCCAGCTAAAAGGTGAATTTCCATCCCAATTTTAGGTCTGAGGTACATTTTGTTCTTAGATTTGCCAGTATTCTGCTCCTTTTTTCTCTCAGTTTCTCAGTCCATGCTAATAATGAGAAACTACAAAACTTAATGCTGCCATCACCATGCTTGACAGTAGGTATGGAGATGACTGGATGATGTGTGTTTCCACAAGACGTAACATTTTTCATGTTCCAGTTTTGTCCTGGCTGACCATAAAACAAAGAGCTTTGACTAATGGCCACTTTCCCCATCTAAGCCACTCCTGTTCTTTTCAAATGTGCAGTTTGCACTGAAGCCCCTAATGAGCATCCTCCTTGCTCTGCTGCTCAGTTTAGGTGGACACTGATCTAGGGGCAGTATTTGGGTTGTATAAAAGACCTTTCAGTTTTTAATAATCAATTTCACTATAGTCAAAGGAACATTCGGTTTTCACACCCTTTGCTAGATCTGTGCCTTTTTACAACCTAATCCTTGAGATATTTTTAAAGGTTTTTGATGATTGTGATTGAATTTTTGCTTTCACTAGTTGACTTACAGAGAAATATACAGCATTAATCCTGAAATCAGGTTAACCACTATTATATACAGAAGCCACTCAACTAATTTCTCACACTTGTACAAATAAATTTAGGTTTGATGGTACAAATGGTTATGCAACCATTTTCAATTTTTAATATTATTTACTTTCAGTTTGCTTTTTGCTTTGAAAGTGGAGCAGGTGCTGTATATAATAAATATGGTTACTTCTAAGAGTCATCACTGCAAGCTTTAAAGCAACAAAATGTTGAAACTGTACTAGGGTGTGAATACTTTTGAAAGACACTGTATATGGTCCTGGTCCATCCACTTCAACATTAACTTTGTGAATTATTATTCATGTGATACAAAATGATGTGTTAATCATTAACAGGATGACTGTTCTTCAGCATTTCTAAAATTAACTGTCCATCTCTGTGTTCAGCTATGTGTTGAACTATCATTTCCAAGATGCCATTTTGATTGCTAATAACACACTTTTAAATGTGTTTGGGCAGTACATTTTCTTGTGGCACAAAAGGCCTCCCCAAGTTAAAAATGGCAGACCTTTAGTTAAACACCTGTTTCGAAATTTAACCAGAAAAAGCTTAAAAGGGTATTAACCTCAGATTAAAGATCTGATATAGAATATGGATCAGCAAGCCCCATCCTATTTGAGTTATGATCCCGTTCAAATGTTTCCCTTTGCATTGTTGTCCTGATATATAAATAATATATATATATAGATATACTGTATAGTAATAACAGTTGTGACCATGCATACTGTTTGGCAATCTGCACCAGTACATAACCTTTAAGTGTTTTGTTTAGACACCTATATACAAAAAAACTCCAATGCAGGATAAATTAAACAGATGTATGCTGAATCTCTTTACATTAATGAGGGCATGATATCAAGCACTAGGTGTGGAAAATAAATTAAAAGTTGGGTTATAATGAGCAACTGCTATCCAAATGTTGCTCAAACCGTCTATACTGAAAAAAAGAAGCCTTTTAGTCTGATGTTGGTTATCATTTATTCCAAAATAGAACATTCTGCAATAGAGTTACAGAGTGACAACCTGGGAAGATCTGTTTTCCAAAAAACATTGAGACCTATTCCCCATGACATAACACCTGCTCAAACAAATTTAAATGGCTGTACATTAGCATCTCCTGTGGAAACTGCAAGATGTAATCAGCATTGGACTGCTGTCCTTATTTTCTTCTCGTTTTTGAAAATAAAGAATGCATGCAATACATGCCCATATTTTCTGTATTTTTTCAAATGTATTTTATTCATCACAGAGGATTTTATTGTGATTTCTTGGTTACAAAAGCTTTACCATGGATACATCAGAAGAAACAGGTGAAGGTCTACTGCTTGTAGTAGATCATTATCTTTTTTAATTTTTTTAAACAAACTAATTCAGCATTGTGTACCAAGACAGTGAAATGTGTAAGATACACATGAGAACATGAAACTTAAGACTCCATATTTAAGCATAAAAAATGAAATATTATGCACTACTCCACCGCCACTTACATTTATTGAAAATATGCTTTACCTTGAAATCTAATGAGGGCAATGAAATATAGGAACCATGATTGCCCATTTTCTAAAAAAAACCCAGAAATAATCTTGTTTAAACTTGACTATGTGCTAGGCTTCTGTGCTTACTGGTTCTTTTAAAAAATGTAAGGCTTTTATTGTTAAACTTGTTTACTTATTAATGTTTATTTCAATAAGTAAACTCCACAAGAGCCTGAAAACAACAGACGCCTCTTTATATTTAACTTTGTACATAAATATTCCTTAAAAAACACTAAACAAAAAGAGACACCAATTATTTGCCAGAATTCATATATAAAAATAGCCTTTTCTTTTATATTGTGGATATCATAGGGTGAAAAAACCCTTTCCAAAGTCCTGATGTCTGTTTGCTTTAAGCACAATTAGTGGAATACAGGCATGCTAAGTGTAAGAAGTAACTACAAGCATAATTTTAAGTGTTGGCATCCCTACTAAAATTCTTTCCTTAAAAAACTTAAGGATTTAACACTTTTTCTCTGATTTATAGCTTAAAATACAAAAAAAGTGCACTCACCTACTAGCTATTTATAAAACATTTCTGGAGCTAAATGCCAGTCCATTGTGTTTGCTTTGCAAACCAGAGGCCTTCTGCCTGTTGTATCATTGATTTCAATGCACGTGTAACAGTCCTACTGCAGGGAGTCGCTGGTTTCTAGGCCCAGCCCGGTGATGTTTGTAGTGGAAAGGTCTCCGCTGTCTTCCTCCCCACTTTCTTCAGATTCATCCTCACTGTGTCCTGCCATCATCACCTGCTGCACTGCAATAGTGGCACCATCTGAAGAGAGCGACTGCAAGCTGTCCATGTTCACTCCCACCGTCACCATAGTGCCTTTTAAAACAAGTGCATCAACATCAGGGGATGTCAAAGCTTATCATTCAGCCACTAATCATAATCTAATCATTAACTTTATAATGCTGAACTAGAAAGAGAGGAGATTTTCTTTCTATAACTTCTCTTTGGGTTCTTTAATTTCTTCCCTTAATTAGCAATTTTCCACTTATATGATGATGCTCAAGTCTTCTGGATTTTCCATCTTACAACACTGAAATGTATTTGTGAATATCCAGCTACTAGGTGTTTCCTATAAAAATCTAATTATAATTATCTCTGTTCACCCTCTGGTTAATTGTTTGTTAAAATCTGTAACCTTTCCTGTCTCTTGTATTGATACTAATGTTTCTTCTCCTTTACATTACTATGGGGGAACCCGATACACAAAAGAATTAAGAAGTGATTGCTGATTAAAATTAACTCAAATTAAATCACTGATTTAAAATGAAGCTTCTTCTAAACATAAACATCTTATGTTCTCTTTTGTGAAATAAGATTTATTAAAACTGAATCCATATCAGAACAAAACATATCCCTTAATCTCACCAATTCCCATCTTTTCTCTATGGTACATCCATTCCATGTTTCTATCAAACATTCCTTAATAATAAATAAAGTCAGACAGACACTATAGGAGTCTTGTTCAATAAGGAACCAACCAAATCACCAGTAATACTAACTACATCCCACAACCCATCTAAATAATTTACAGTCACGACAGACCTAGTGCTGACAGGAGAGGGAGTGTAGACAACCAAATATACATAAATCCCAAATCAGACTTACCATTTGGCAAGAATGCCAAGTGAAAGGAACAAATATCTTTGTTTAGACTGGCGTAAGAATAGGAAACCTGTTTCCAAAATGGAACCTCACCTGGGAATTTAAAAAATATCCAGCATCTTTCGAGCCTAAAACTAAACTCTTTCTGTTTAGGAAGCTATTGACATGTTTTGATTTTCTTAAAAGCAACAAAAGTTTCTGTTTTACACATGACTTAAAGGAGTTGCTATTCTGAGCCTGAACTGAGTAACACTCCAATGGTGTATCAGTCTGAAAGAGGGATAAAAGTATCTAGACAAATCCTTGATCTTTAGCCGGTTTAGAAATGATGTTGCAAATAAACAGTGCATCAGGCCAATATAACCTTATATGTTAACTCATTAATTAATATATTACAGTTATCATAAATTCTGCACTAGCCAACAACATTCTACAATGTACTTAATAATTCAGAAGCTGCAAAATACCAACTTAAAATTATAGTAGTGGTAGAACTACTATATTCAAAGAGTATTTAATATTTTTTATACTTATGTACTGATAACTACATTACAATTAAACGTCTTCCATAATTTGAAGAAAAAATAAAATTAATAAAAATCTGACCTTATTTAACCCACCTTAGAAAATAATCAAATTCTCGACCCTGACATCTCTGGCTCCTCTTTAAGACACACCTGTATGGGTTGCACCTTCTGATACAGTAATCAGATCCATCTCTTTATTGTGCAAATGTTTCTTTTAACTTTTAATATTAGGAATTTTGTGGCATAAACGCTAACAGCCATATCACCCTGCAACTCACAGCTGGCAATCCACTGAAGTTAAGCAGGTGTGAGCCTGGTCAGTACCTGGATGGAGACCTTCTGGGAAAAACTAAGGTAGCTGCTGGAAATGATGTTACGGGGGCCAGCAGGGGGTGCTCATCCTTTGGTCTGTGTGAGTCCTAATGCCCCAGTATTGTGACAGGGACACCATACCGTAAAAAAGAGCCATCTTTTGACTCTCTGCGGTCATTAAAAATCCCAGGGCATTTCTGAAAAAAAGTGTAGGGCTGTTACCCCGGCATCCTGACCAAGTTTTCCATTGGCCTTTTCCAGTTGGCCTCCTAATAAATTGGCTTCATCACTCTGTTCTCCTCCCAATTGATAGCTGGTGTGTGGTGAGCGTACTATGTGCACTATGGCTGCTGTCACATCATCCAGGTGGATGCTGCACATTGGTGGTAGTGGAGTCCCCATTACCTATAAAGCTCTTTGAGCAGTGTGTCCTAAAAAGCACTGTATAAGTATAAGGAATTAGTAAATTATAATTGTACAAAATCTAACTGAGATCACTATGTACAAAATTTGGTCTGCAAGATACAAATAATCTATTGCTTGCAACTTGATGCATTCAAATTTGTAAATGCATATCCTACACTGACCTTTTTACTCTTGAACAGAGAAGATAACAAGGGGGATTCAAGAATTCAAATTTCTTCCAAGATTTTAAAGTCTATTCTTCTTCAGAACACAAATGGAAACTTAAAAAAAAGGTTTTTAAAACTTAAAATACAAGGCACATTTTTACACAAAGGGTCATGGGAGACTTGAACAAGCTATCTAGACATGTTCTTGAAGTTGACACACCAGCATCTTTGAAGAAATGGCTGGATGAGAAGTTATTTCAACAAATAATGTAACACATTTAAATTATTGGTTACGGATTCACAAACCTGAAATGGTTTTATTTTGGCCACTTACAGAATACCTAAATTTAGCAACAGAAAAGGACGCTGCTGGCATGATTTTAAAAACAGAATTCCATAATCACATACCAAGGTCAAGCACAATGGACAGGAAGTTATTTTAATTAAATCCTTAACAGTATAATTTACATACATGAAACTAGGAACAAACTAGGAAACTAGGTTTGAGGTTTAACCAAAATGTGCTGTACACATCTTGTGGTTTCTGTAATGAGACTGAAGGGACTGCATGAAAACAACAGTGCATGTCTGAAAGTAACAGGTCTCTTGTATTCATAGAATAGTCACCTGTCCCTTATTGGTAAAAAATGTATACATTACATACCTTCAGACATTGCCATTTCTGAAGGCTGTTGCTGGTTAACTCCAGAGGCTATGGAATCAGGCCAGAACCGCTGAAGAGGCCTATTCTGTGCAGTTTTCTTCTTTGCCTTTGGAGTCTCAGAACAACTGGCATCTAGCATGGGCTGAAGAATCCGTCTCCTTGCATTGATGAACCTTAGCAAGTCACATGTTAGTTAGCTCATCTAAACACTAAACAACTGCAGAAAATACTTTGTATATAAAAAGCCCAAATTAGCATTAGTAGTATTATACTACTATTGTTACAACAGTTACTACACTTGTAAAAAATAAATTTTACAATTACTATAAATTGCACTTTAGAGAAGCATCTGCTTTTTTGCCAAGGTCTAACACATTATTTAATTAAGCCAGAAACCAGATGGAGGAATCGACGAAGTTTTGACCACATTGTTAAATAAACCTGATACAGATTTTTAATTAATTTAATTTCTACTGAGGAGCTAACTTTAGCAAAATGAGATCCCTAAACTCTTTGTAGTGATTTTTTTCAACTTTTTCTTATTTCAGAAACAAAGAAATAAGCAACTTTGCACTGACTTTTATCAAAGAGTAAAAAGTTGGAAATTTAAATATATTAATGAAGCATCCACTTAATGCTCTTTACTTTATAGCTGATTTATAGAAAAAACACACCATTGGAATCTCCCACTAACATAACATTGATAATAAAAACTGCATATTTATGTTATTTTAAATAACATAAAATGAAGTACAACTTCCTTTCAGTTGCCCAGCAGACACACTGCTTACCGAATTAAATCAGGTCATGCCCATGCATGCTGGAATAGTTCTGTCTTACCAGTTATTTACTTGAAGAAGTGTTAGATTTGTCTGTGAGGCAATCTGTTTCTTCTCATCCTCTGTTGGATATGGGTGCTAAGGAACAAAAAACAATTTTCTTTTGACTGTATCTGTATCAATGTCTGCTTAGATATTTTAAATTGGCATCAAACTTTTTCTTTTACTGCACTCTCAAATGGCTCAAGGCTACGTCACTTGAACCAACACAAGCAAGAACAAGGACTGAGAATGCACAGCTCCAAATGCAGCTGCTTTCAATATCTGCAGATTCTTACAAGACAGTTAGCAGCAACAGGGACTCTTGTTGACAATACACCACAGTTCTGCTTGCAGTCACATTTGTGAGGCAAGCTAAGAATACACTGGCACACTCAAAACCCACCCAACTCTGACAGGGCCTGCCCAATTGTATCCTTCTGAACTGAGAATTCTAGACAAAACCTGATAATAATACAGCTCAGTTTTCAGATAGACTAGCTTTACCTACATTGAGCTAAAATGGCATTAGTGGCCAAGTGTCCCTGTAGAGCCCTATTAGCCCAATGCTTGAATAGGAAAAAAAAGTGCTAGTACCCCCTTCGTCCAATCTTAAACCAACACTTACAACTTGATCAAATATTTGATGGAAAATTGAAACAAAAACGTTATTAGTTTTAAAGTAAGGCATTTTTCTAACTTTGTGATAGATTTATCCCTATGAATTATGAAAAAACTGATCCTTGTACTCAGAAAAGGGCTCAACATTTATCTTGGGAAAATCAAATTAACTGGACTTGAAACTAATATTTTTTTATCTCACTTCAAGGTCTTAAAGTATTATAATAAAAAGTATATCAATATTACTAGTAGTTTGTATCATACATAATTAAATATGTAAACATATCTATATCATTTGGACAAATCACAGCCTGAATTCTAGGGTGTCTGTTAAAACATATAATTATAATTATGAAATTGTACATAACGGAGTCACTAGAGATTTTATTTAGTTCTGTAAGTACAGAGCAGTACCAGCTAAATTCAGGCACAGTATTACTCAGATTGGTCACTCCTGCCACTATGCATTCTAGGAAAAATATGACAGAATCAGAACATAGGATGGTACACATCAGATACATTTTAGAGCATCTTATGAACAAAGAACTACTAAAGCGATTACACCAGGGTGTCTATTCTGACACAGTGCTTCTTCAACACAATGTGGGATAGCAATAAAAAAGGCAAAGACATTTTTAGGCTATGTGATCAAAAAATTTGGACTCACAAAAGATATTGCTGCTCTGGAATCAGTCAAGAGAAGAGCAACCAAATACCAAAATTTAGGGGCTTAAAGGGAGGGGAACTGCAGTCCCAATTCTCAGACAATATATTAAATCTCGGTAAAAAAAAATAAGTTCATTCATGACATAGAAAATCTTCATATATTTTGAATTAAGCACAAAATCGTTAACATTGTGAAAGTACTGTATGGTCACCATTGTTGTCGCAAACTGCTGCGCATATTACAATGTGAAACAGCCCTTCCTGCTCACTAGTTTATGTAGTGACTAACATAACACAATTTACTGTATGTACTGTAAAAGTACAGGATCTGCAGCAAGTAGTATTTGTTGGCATAACTGTCTCAATGTCGTGAGCAATACTTCTATTGGATTTAAAGAGATGTATTCACAAGCCTGCATGTTTACAATGTAATAGGGTTGCGTCACGTCCCTGGTCATTTTTTGCCCCATTCTGAATCACAGAAAAAGACGGGAATATGGAACTGTGTAATGTGTAATTTTTTTCTATTTTATTATGTAGACTGGAGGTTTAACAAATTACTGTGTACTTTTTACTTTTATTGTGAATTGAAATGCACTCATCAATGCTAATTCCTTCTATCCCGAAATTTTTAAAATAGAACAGAGAAGGTTCCCCAGTCAACAGTTAAACCCAAGAGCCAAATGCTGTGCAGCAGCAGTGCAGAGGGCCAAATTAACCTACATGACCTATAAATGTTTAAAATATATCTCAGTTGTTTTCCTATTGTGTTTTTCTGAGCTACGTATATTAAACCAAACCACACTAAATTAAAACTAAATTAAGTTGCAAGTTATTGCATGAATTTTCCATAAAGCTACCAACCTCCTGTACATAAAATACACAGAAATGTTAATTTTATGGAAGTTAGTAACACATTACTTCCTCATTCTTGTGTTTTTATGCACAATCTACAAAAGGCTATTTACTATTTAAATAGCGAATCTTCATCATCATCAAAATTCATCATTTCATTATCAGAAAGTTGTGTTTCCAGCTGAAAGTCACAGCACCTGGAAGGTGACAGTCTCCATTAGCCCAGGATAAGAGGCAGGACTAAGCAGATAGATGCTCTGACCCCAGACAGGATGTCAGTCAAAAATTTACCAAAGTTAAAAAGCTTACATTTAGCAACAACACAAAAGCTTTTCAAGATTAAAAAAACTGATGAAAACTAAACAAATCTAAAATGGAATATAAACCTCTAAACTGTTGTGTAACTGCAATGTTATAGTTTTGTTAACAATAAAACAGCTTAGTTTTAAAACGTAGTATCCATCACTGTCAGCTGTGTATGGAAAGCAAGCAACAGTTAATTATATTTATAGTGCTTTATAACATTTTGTGGAAGTCATTTAATGTGTTATTTGCAAGTTATGTCAAGTAAAGTGTTATATTCTAAGTGCTTTAGGGTAATCATTTTTTATAGTCAATATACCCTATGATTCTTTTGAAATGTGACTTTATTGGCTTTGTCAGACAGTAAACAAAGTGCTTCTGTGAACTGGCAGTTTTTCTAAGGCATTCTGATGATTAGCAAACCAAGCATAAGATGACCTTTGATTACTTATACCATTTGCTAGTCATATGAGGGACCTGATGTGTCTTTCAATGTTTCTTTTAACAATGAGCAATTTAACATACTATCTAAACTTTTCATATTCATCATCACTTTCTGAACATTTTTTACAAAAATCTAATTACTTCCAGATGTCAATGAGAATTAATTTAATTACTGAAATTAAACAAATAAAATTGTGAAATAGTTATTTATGCTCTGTTGGGCTAACTTATAAACACTGAATTAACAACCTGTGTCCTGTCTCGTATATTCTATTTCATTACTCAACTGGATATGTCTGTGTTTATGGCCATAAATCCCCCTGGTAAAGATATTTTTGATTGGTTGTAAAAGTACGTTTTGTTGAATAGAGGCTTTGACAAGGAAACCAGAAAATGTGTCTCAACAAACCCACCCAACAAAAAAGAGGTGCTGATTATTAAAAAGCCAACTTTTACTACAAAATATAATGTCTGTGTAAAGAACCTATAAGTGCCGCATAGGGAGAAATGGGGAGGTCAAAGTGTGCAGTCAGAAAGGTTTTGATACTGTACCATACCGTGTAATTTTTATTACTGATAAACACATTGCACCTACCCTATCCATCAGAAAGAGACAAGAAAAACCAACTGAGATGTTGTTAATGTTTATTTCAACTGTTTGTATTTGTTAAAGAGTGGGTCAATAGCATAAAGTTGAAATGAAAGTATCTGCTTTTTCAAAAGTAGCAAAGTGCATTGTTTATAAGCAATGCCAGTTTTGTGTGTGCTGAATGCTTAAACCCAAGACTAAAAATAATTTACTGAAAATGGTCAGCAAAAATTAAACAAGAAACCACATTTCACTTAATTGTATTCAATAATGTACTGAAACATACTGTACCGCAATATTTTGTGGAAGCACTTTAAGTGGCAATTATAGCTACAAATCTTTTTGGGTCTTATACCACAAAGTCTCTACCAACTTTATGCAAAAATTTCAACAAAGCCATTGTGCTTTCTTGTTGGCAAACTTGCTCATTCTCTCTCAGGTTGCTTTGAGACTACTCATGGACAACACCTTTCACGTCTTTCCACAGATTATCAGTAGGATACAAGTCAGGATTGGGCTACTCAAGCACATTCATTTTATTACTCTCAATCAAATCCAATGTAAGTTTGTCCTTAGGTTTGGCTCTGCATCATTGTCCTGTCATCATCATTTCCTTTATTTTGGCCTGAATCAAGGTTTTCCCTAAGATTTGCCTCATTTGTGGAGTGCCCACCAGTCTTGACAAGTTTACCAGTCCCTGCTGATGAGAAGCAAAACTATAACAATGTTGATACCACCATGCTTTATGGGTGGTGTTGATCGAATTATGTACTATATTGGATCTGTGTCAGATGTAAACTTAAATATGGCATATTTCTGCACATTTTAATGCACAATTACTATTTATGTGCTGAATTTAACAGATTGAAATAAAGAAAACAGTGAATGTGGCATGTGCAAAGGTTTGGGCACTCAGTTAGTACTTAGTAACACCTCCTTTGGCAGAAATCACAGCTTCTTAATGTTTCTTGTAGCCAGCTAACAGTCTTTCTATTCTTGCTTTAGGAATTTTTCCCCCACTCTTCCTCGCAGAACGTTTCTAGCTCAGAAATATTCTTAGGTCTTCCTGAATACACTGCAGGTTTGAGATCTCCCTATAGATTTGCAATAATGCAGTCTGGGGACTGCGAAGACCATCCCAAAACCTTAATCTTTCCAGTAAGTATTTCATGGTTAATTTTGATGCATGTTTTGGATCATTGTCTTGCTGAAATATCCAACTTCTTTGCTGCTTCAATTTCTTCACTGACTCGCCTGTTTTTCTCTGAATGTATCTTTTGTAGTTGTGGCCAAAAAGTTCAATTGTTTTTCATCAGTCCACAACACTTAGTTCCAAAACGTTTCTGGCTTATCTAAGTATTGCTTTGTATACTTCAGACTTTGCTTTTGTGGTGAGATTATAGGAAAGATTTCCTTCTGACAACTCTTTCATGCAGATCATTTTTATGTAAGCAATGCAGTACTGTGGACATGTGGACCACTACTTCAGTGTCAGCTAAACCTTTCTGTAGGTCATTTCCAGTGATATGTGTGTTCTCCTTTGCATATCTGACCAGTTTACGAGCAGTTCTATCATATTGTTTTTTGGGTCTTCCAGATCTTGCCTTGACTTCAACAGTTCACCTTAACTTCCATTTCTTAATTATGTTCCTGACAGTGGAAATTCCGATCTGGATGCATTTAGATATATTTTTATAGCCTTCCCTTGCTTTGCAATAGTTAAAGGACTTTATTTTCAAGTCCTCAATCAGCTGCTTGAAGGAGCCCATGGTTATTGGGAGTAGGCATGACTTCTGAGAGGTTAGGAGGGTCAGAGTATTTATTCAACTCTGGAATTGTCTTCAACTGGCTTAATTTAAGGCCTAATGACTATAATGAATCAACTAGAAGGGGGCCCAAATTATTTCACATGCTACATTCACTGTTTAATTTTCTGGCAATCTGTTGAATTCAACCAATAAACAGTAATGGTGCATTAAAATGTGCAGAACCCTGCAGAGGTTAACTTCTTTCACTTTGAGATTCAGTGGAACATGCAATTTGACCAGGGGTGCACAACACATTTGCATACAACCTTGACTTTCATGATTGAATCTTTACTTAAAATACAGTAACTGAAAGATCTTACAGAAATAAGTGCATTTATTCTTAAATCACGTGAACCACTTTTATTACACACAGAAAAGAGGTAACTCTTTTGTAATTTTGTGCATCTCACATAATTTAAGATTTCCAAAGCAAAAGGGTTTGAACACCTCTGTAATCATGAGTTTTTCACTTCCACATTAGTTATTTAGTTTTATTTTGCTTTGTCTGTATAAACATGATGTTTATATAACAAATATTAATTGCTATTTCAAAGTGACATGACTGTAAGCTTTAAAGCAACAAAACATGGAAACTATGAAAGGGTCTGAATACTTCTGCAAGGCACTGTATAAACAAAACAATTATTTAATAACCAATGAACTCCTGCTATAAAATAATACCAGGAGATTGATACATTCAACATATACATCAACATACAAGAGCTACTTCTGTTTGAGGACAAATTTGTGCTGGTCATTCCAAAACCTGATGAGAAAAGGAAGGAAAAGGTCTGGTGTGTCTGGGAACACTGGAGGTGCCAGCAACAAATATCTGAAGAACCATTGCAATTTTACACTCATCACATTTTTCAGGAGCAAGGAGACCCACAGAGAACCCCTATTATAACCCAAATGCATTTGGATGCACCTACCAGCCTGAATGACAGATCATTTAAAACCACCATATTGAAAAAATAATGAACACATTTCTACACATGTAATTTGTTTAATTGTAACTTGATATAAAAAACTGCCATTTTAATTTTCTTCTTTTTGTTTTTATTACAGACACTAGGAGTTCCTATATGGTACAGAGTATAGTATGATACAAGAAAACCATATATACAGTGCCTGTCTTGGTGATGACAACGAATATTCAACTATACATGGCTGCTCTTGTGTAGCAAAGCCCAAATAACAAATGCTTATTTTTTGCCTGGTCGGTGTAATGACAATTTAGCATATTTTTTGATTCAGGCTATTTAATATGTGTTTTTATACTTAGGTTTCAGAGGTTTTCTACCTACAGTATAATTTGGCTGCTTAAAACTATTTAAAATACTTAAAAAGACACTCCATACCTTCAAAGTCAACTTTTCTGTCTCCAGTTTCCCTTCAGCATTAGCAAGATAAGCTAATCTACGACGCATTAAGATGTACAACCTTTTCAACAAAATTTTCCAAAACCATAAATGTATATTCTAAAACCGCTTAATAAGTATTAAGCAGAAATTTAAGTTAATATTTAACATCATCAGCTGGGGTACTATGCAGTTGAAATCTGACATACTTGGAGGGCTCACAAAACAAAGAAGCCACAATTGTAATAACTTACTTTAAATTACCCTGCAATCAAAGTTCTTTTATACAACATATTATTCATCAAAGTATATGGGCTCATATCATTACAAATATATCAAGGTAAATAATGAATCAATTTACTATTCTGTTCCCTTATGCAAATGTTAAAAAGGTACAATTTTGTGAACAGAGTCCTGGCCATCTTTCCCCCTGGCCATTACCAATCATGGCCTCCTAATAATCCCCATTTATGAACTGGCTTCATTACTCAGTTCTCCTGCCCACTAACAGCAAATGTATGGTGCTACACATTGGTGGTGGTAGAGGGGAGCCCCCATTACCTGTAAAGTGTTTTGAGTTGAGCGTGCAGAAAAGCGCGTAACAGTATAACAATTATTTATTCTTAATTTAGCATTTGTGTTAGTAACTCAGTTTTTAGGCAGAGTTTTTAATTCTTCACCATTTAATTCTGATTTTGCTTGTCAGCATTTATGTGGTTGTAGCTGTTAACTGATTTAGATTCCCGAACAGAAATGATAACTCTGGCAAAAGCTGAGGAGGAGGGAGTTGTGTGTTAACTGTATGGGCAAAAAGTATAGAATATCCAACAGGGACACTGAAATGCTTTGTATAACATTAAGACCTTTTCTTATTTGCTCAGGGAGTTTAGCTGCATGTTGCTACTTCTGATATATGTCTCTGAGTAGCAAAGCAGCACAAGTGGTTGCCATTACTGTGGACTGTGCTCACAAACTTCAACAAGAATAACTGGAAGCCCCAGATTTAGTGCTTGGGAATTTTTAAGCAATGTAAATTAGAAATCAATGCCAGGTTTCTATCAAAAAGGGTCAGATCAGAAAAGACAACATTCTGGACAAGTGCTTTGTGAATTTTAAAGGGGCATATAAGCCTTAAACCAGATCACCAATTTCTAAATCCATTCCTACGGTTTAATTCACACATACAAGTCTAAACCTAAGAGCAGTAAACCAAACGAGAAGACTGTCAGGACAAAACAGACTAACAAAGAACCTGAAGCATGTTTTGAGTATATAGAGTGGGAAATGTTTCACCAAGGCACCTTAGATGACAGAACAGTGACTACAGAATACATCACTTTTGGTGTTCAACAAGGAAGACTAAAGTATATACAAATAATAAGTAATATGTAACAAAATACACTAAACACACCATGAAACTGAGGATGATCACTTTAAAGAATAAGGATTTTGATTCACTGAAACATACTGAAAAAATGAAACCGAAACTAACGGAGGCAAAACATGCAGATTAGCATTTCAAGGACGTATTTAAAGCTACTAACCCTAGAAGACTCTGTGACATCAGGAAGAGAATGACAGGAAACTCCTCTCTCAGGAAACAAATTTGACTAATAATGAACTTCAGTTTTCCAAATTAAGTGAATATGTTTTTTACCAGGTATGATAAAGGAGGCACCTTTTATAACCATTTTGACATATTAAAGTCTATTTCACTTAACAGTTCAGACAGGGCTATCACTGTTAGAGATCAAGTTATGAACTCTTGCAATACATATGTTAAAATCATTTGGACAAATGCAAAACATATGCTACAGTACTTTTTCTTGACTTTTCATCAGTTATTAATACAATCTGACCAAATATTTTATTAGCAAAGACGGTCCAATTACAGATCAATACATAGCTGATATTTTGATAGAATTCATTCCCTACAGAGGATTGCAAGAGATTAAATTTAATAACATACTTTCTTCTAATGTTATAACTAACCATGGAGTGCACTAGGGATTTGTGAGTTCAGTACTGCTCTTCTTTCTTTATATGAATGATTGTGTTGCCAGTGGTCCAAACCAAATTCATAATCAACTTTCTGAGATGATTCCATTATACTTTCTCTGATTAACTATAACGATGACCCCAATCTATATCAGAATAGTGTGGCCTATTTGGTTGCTGAATTACTTTATCCCATACCCAAACAAACTAGTCAATAGATGACTTCACAACGAGTAAGGGTTTATGGGCAAGTGCTATTGGGTGGATTATGTGCAAAATTGAAGGTGTAATGTGTAAAATTACCATTTTAGCAGCTTAGTTGTACTGGAGGTTATTTATAAGTTTTATGTAGTGTGGATTCCTGTAGGAGTGGCGTGAAATTAATATGCATGTGCAGATGTCTGTTATGAGTTATAATGTTTACTTTTACTGTTTGCATATTTTGTAAATTTCTGTGCATTGAAAACATGCTGAAGAAAGATGAAGAAAGATATAAGATGTGAAAAGGGGGTTAACTAACTTCTTTCTGCACAAAGACTTCTTGTAACACAAGACATTCCATGTTTAGGCGCCTCTGAGTTATGGCAAAGATGGGAGTTAACAGGATGTTCCAGGCTTAGGCACCTTTGAGTTATGGCGGGATGGCAGTTAATTGATATGAAATCCCAAATGCAAGATAAAGACTCTCCCCAACTAAGGAAAGATAAAACTGACCATTAAAGGTCTTAGGAATGTCCAAACATAGCCCCCCCATTACTAGGGTAACAATTTGTGTCAGAAGCGGGTGACATTTGCTATATAAACTGGAAGTTTTGTACCTATATTTCGAACAATACTTTCGTCTTATTGTTCCTTGCGTGCAATTAACTCAGTTGTTCAAGCCTCATCTTGGGTTCTACAACTTATTTGTCTGTTACTACAAATGCAAGAGGAATTTCTAAGATATCGAACAAAGTGTTATTCATAGATATACAGAATGTATCATACAGTAGATATAAAAGGGTTTATCTTTCACTCCTTCCTCTGCCAGTTAACTTAGTGATACTTACCCCAATGTGTTGGAAGAGCCAAGACCTCATGACATTTGTAGCGTGCTTAGGAAGAACTCCCCGCTTGTTCTTTGAAGAACCGTCTTCATGGTGCAAGATACTCAGATCCTGGTTTAACTGCAGCTGAAGCTGAATAAGAAAATGCAACTTCTAAGTGCTAAAAACAAATTTCTCCACCTCATCACTACATCATTTAATAAGTTACCCTCTAACTATCATTTAGCTCAAATTCAATTGATAGTGACAGTGAAGGTTTTGCTTATCTTGCATTAAGAACTATTATATGGTTCTAAACTGCATGATGCATGTGCAGTGATGTAATGATACACCTTTTCTACTAAAAAGAATGACATATTCTACATTTCACCATAAATTGGTAATTTAAGGTTGAAAGGTAATAAGAAAATAAATATAGATAAGAACAAATAAGTAAAAATTGCAATTAATTCCTCCATCAGAGCAGATTAAGATTACAGTATCAATAGGCTATTTGCAACTAAAAATGAACAAGAGAAGCCTCATGGTCTATTCTTGTTTCCTGTCTTACATTCCTCAAAAGGGTGCACTGGGATGACTGCAGTCCACTATTCAAGTTCAAATGAGAGCTGTACCGTTACTGAAACTCACAAAAATACTACTAATAAATTTAATACATTGTAACTATGTATACTTGTATAATCAATGTTATCTATGCTCTAAATTTCCTTTTAATCTGCTTAATCATTATCATATAAAAGAGGGACAATATCTCCATAAGTTGTTGGCAATTTTAGATACATATGGTAAAGATTCACTTATTTGTTTTTATATCTTACGAGCATTAAATTAGACTTAGATAAAATGAACCACAATTTCATTATCTCATTTAATATTGTGCAAAAAAGACAATTATTGTAACATTTAAAAAAATCCTAGAACAAATTTAGAATACATGAATACAGGGCCCTGGGTCCAATTCCAGAATGGGGTGCTTTCTGCATGGCATATGTATGCTCTCCATTGTTCCAAGTGGGTTTCCTCCAGTTCCCTTCTATTGTACAAAATATACTGGCAAGTTAAATGGCTTCTGGGAAATGTTGTAGTATGTGAGTATGTGAGAATGTGTGTATCTGTGTGTGCCCTGTGAAAGACTGGTGTCCCATCCAGAGTGTACCCTGTTTTTTGACCATTGCTTGCCAGGATAGGCTCCAGTTCCCCTGAAGTGGAAGAAGTGGTAAGAAAATACTGTAGATGAATGAAAATAACTAAGTGTATTATGAAAGAGATGAACTACGACTTACAGTAATACTTTCAATTGTAGTGTATACAGTCGGCCATGGTCTACACAAAGACTGCATTAGTAATGGGAGTGGAACATGTTTTATAATGGAAAATATCACAAACATCTTTAGGATTCACTCCTCAATTTTGTTTCCTAATAGCTTAAGTAGGAAAACATTTTATTTTCATTCAGTATCCTGGAGGGAATCACCTGTGCGTTTTGGATGCGTATTGTCCCTGGTGACAGAGCCTGCGTTACCACCTGGCCTTGTGGTGTGACGACAGTGACAGGCTGGTATACAGTGCCTCCTGTTCAATACAAAGTTTTTAAGATGGCATCATAGACTTTGAAACACAAGTATATTAGTGGAAATACTGTATATGTGCAACCTAAAACAAGCATTTAATTATTTGTTCCTGAACTGTTAAGTAGTGACTACAACACAGGTGGAAAATGCATGCAACTTTACTGTCTACAAGTTAAATAAACAAAGCACTCCAAAGCAGACTTTAAAAGACAATTTTGCTCAGTATTATTTAAAAATGAATCAATGTCCTATCAACGCAATTATTATGTAAAGGATGATTCAGAGGCTTTTTTATTCAGTTTCAAATTCAGATCTAATTACTGAGTGTCAAAAAGTTGTTTTGGAGCCAGAAATAACATGATGATCCAAGATAAACAAGACATTATTACAATACTTCAGAAATTTTTCATTTTTAAAATAATGGAAGTGAAGAGAATTTATGTTTCTTGAAGCAAATAAATCTATACAAAGAAAATAAGAAAATGAGAAAAGGTAAAAAAATAATGACAATGAAAGGGACTATCATTTGGAATTTGGAGCATTTTATAACAATTTTCTAATACTGCTCACATTTTTTTTTTCTGGAGAGAATGAGACACTTGGACATTTTCCTCTGACTCGGCTACCTATTAATACACATTCACCAAGTTCCACCATGCCTAGAGTCAGCTCGCACTGGAAGTGCTGAGCATTTCTCCCTGACAAAACTGCAAAGTCTACAAGAGCCCAGCAAGTCATGGGGGTCACTGTTTGCTGGACGGCTGAGAGAGTGCTTGGTAACTAATTGTAACCCTACCCTGGTGGCACTCTCCGTATTTTGTGCCACTACTTGGGAAAGACCAGTTCCAGTGAAACACTTCTTCCATTTTTAATATTAGAGGGCATAGCATATTTACTATTCTTCAAAGCTATCTAGGCTGCCTTACATATTGAGGACTAACAAGAGTTAATTAAACAACTGTTGGAAACAAAAATGCTCATGACAAAGAAGGATATATAGAAAGCTGAAAAAAGAAACAACAAAGTCTAGTCTAGACTGCTCAAATAAAACAATTTGAACTAATAATCATTTTTACACAACTTGCAAAAAGTTTCGGAAAACAAAAACATACCTGCTACAACTTGTGTAGGATTGACTGCAGTTACAGTGACATTTCCTTGCTGTAGGGCTGAAGCAGGAACCACAATACCTTGAGGGCTGAGTGTACCTGTGAAAGAGCCTGAGCTCTAACAGCACACAACAGAGAAAAACAATATCACATATCTCGCACGAGACGAAAAACAGCAGTATTATTCAGATAAGTGTGTTTAGAATGAGAAAACCAAGCACTAATAGTTTTTTTAAGTGTAGTTTTTCTACACCTGGGGTCTAGCCTGTGTGAAGAACGTTTCTTCTCTTTTTGACATGTTCCTTTGCAGCCTACAGATTCTAACCTGCTTGAACTACTTCATCCTATATATTGCAGTCATTCTCTACATCTTAACTTTGCTATGGTTTGGTAGCCTTCACATCTATTAGTCTAACTAATTTAAGCCTAAAAACAAACTGAAAGTTTTCTTCAGTACACATAATGCTAATGTAACAAGGTAGCTATAAGTGCAAACTAGGCAGATTTTTGGAGTGCTGGTTTACACAGTAAAGCTATTTACATTTCTACCCATTTATGTAGCTGGGCATTTTACTGGAGCTATCTGAGTAAAGCACCTTGCTCCCGAGCACAACAGTGTCCCACCTGAGACCTGAACCCACAACCTTCCAAGTGAGAGCCAAGACCCTGACCACTCATCAACAGGGGTATTCTTTGTTGAAGGAACCCCCTGGGCAGTCTCCGAGTCCCTGGCTCTGAGGCTCTGGATCCCTGGCTTAGAACAACTGTACTAGCAGAAGTACAGTCATAAAGTTTTGGACCCTCACATTTGTTTTGTTGCAACTGACATAAAGCTGTAACTAAAGAATTAACTGGACATTCTATAGAATCTTTAAAATAGTAATGTCTAGTTTAAGGAGAGCAGGTCACATAAACATTTGTGTGAATAAGACATCAGCATGCATAAAATGTCCTTTTAAATCACAAAAATATACTAATCAAAATTAAAAATATTCCATATATGATGACAGATATCACCCCCTTTATGACTTAACCAGCATACACTAGATTGTGTAAGCATGGTATCTGCGGGGAAACAGAATAATGGGAAGAAAAGGGGCAGCAATTCACGTTCTTCAGGTTCTGTATCCATCTCACTTATGTTGAGAAAATTATTCAGGGTTTACCACAGCTGTATAGAGAACTGGTGAGTTGGCTGGTCAAAACTCTGTGCTGCTGGCAAACAAAAACATTGACCAAATGTACACGGAGTCCATATTGAAATACTGTTTCGAAGTTATACACTGCAAGATCATTTGCCAGCCAGCAGCCAAAATGGTATGTAATCGGATAGCTCTCAAGTCTCACACATTGGAACCAAATCTCAAGGTCTCAAGCCTTGGTCTCACATACTTGCATCAAGTCTAGGCTGTAATGTTAAATTGGTGCAGAGACTTGTGATTCCGTTAATAACCAATGTGTTTTTTAAGTGAATAAAAAATCAATGGTACAAATTGTTTTAAATTGAAAATTGTGATTGAATATCTCACAACTTAGGGTTTTGGACCCTTGAAAGCTATGTTAGTAATATGGTAAAAAAACACATCATAGCTGAATCAGTGGGTCATAAATACTGTGCCCCTTTGTTACTAGCCACTTAAGTTTCAATGGGAAAAAAATACCTATTGCCTTAATAAACACAAAATAATAAACACCATCTCAATAGCAAAAAGAACACAATGGCTTGATGTATACAGAAAATAGCAAGTGAAGTGTTTCAAGCATAAACCACTTCCTCGGACTGCATTTTGGGTAACCTACTTCATTGATGAATCCTATATAATCAAATTAATCACTATTAAGGATACGTTTGGTGACTTAAAATAATAAAATAGCTAGTTAGTTCACAAGTTAGTACAATAATCTAGCTGTCAGACAGCAACAAGGTGGTGGTGGGGGGGGGGTTGGGATGGATTTTAGCACCAAACCTGCACTTCTCACTGCAGAATTGCTTAATACAGTACTTGGTTGCTGATAGTAGCTGTATAATGACAAATGGAAACACTGGGACATTGAACATTAGCAGCACTGAAAAAAGTAAAAAAGAACAGCACCAGAACAAAAACACCACAAAAAAATAAGAAAAATACATGAAAAAAAGGCAGAATGGTGGAGAGACATGTTTTCATTTTATAAACCGGGAGGTAATACTGCAGGCTGCTGTGATGGAATGACAAACTGGACATGAACATAGAGCTTTGACTTGCAGATTTTTTTTTCCATTAAGCAAACCCAAACTCAACGGATCCTGTCAGTTAAAATCATTACCCATTTCCTACTATTTATTGACTGAAGACGACTATGAATCTCTAAACAAAGAAAGAACAAACATAAAAGCAAATTATCAGGATTTAAACTAACAGGAGATCCTGAACCTAATGTATGTGTGCTATGAGAATAATGTGCAGTAATGGAAAAAAAATAATTGATGCTGAACAGTCAATTGATTTTACTTTGATTAACACAGTGTTATGGATTGTATATTCTTCTTCAGGATTATTTTGATCTCAAATCAACAGCAACCAATTACTTTAAAGAAACTCAGCACTCATACCTGTGTCTGTACAGGTGAGTACGGGCTGCCTGGATCTCCACTCAGCAAAGTTTCACTGTTCATCTTGGTCTTTAGGCAGGCAATGTAGCGGCTACAAAAGTCCTTGCAGAGGTCATTCACTTTTTCCAGTTCCAGCAGATGAATACGTAACACCTGAATGGCTTTCACCATCTGAAGAGAAAGAATTATTGAGAATGTCATATGGGTTTGAAAGCATTTAATAATATTCCAAAGTACATTAGTCCAACATGGAATATTATTAAAATTATTAATCAGCAAATGGGTAGGTGTGTTAAGACTTAAGAATAATTGTTACAAAAGTGTGAAATGACCTTTGTGTCTCTGCACAACAGGAAATAGAAAAAAATACTTTTTTAGAAATTGGTAACTGTCATATCTTGTACATGACACACACAGCATTTGTACAGTGTTATTCCATGCCACAACCATCATACAGGTAACAAAAAATGAAAAGTGAAAAAAGGAGTGCAACTGGACAAACTTCCCAAAATCTCTCTATTTGGTCTGAGTATCGATGAGTGAGAGAGAGGAGTTGCATTACTATTGTAAAGGAGTAACATCTGGAGTAACTAGAATCGCTCACAATGACAGGAAAAGAAGAGATTGTGTACAATTCTCATCTCTAAGAAGAATATAAGAGTAGTTTTCATATAATGAGACACTGGTTTCTGCACATTTGTGGACATGCATTTGGTCCCATTTTTTTTTCTTTGCTATTGCAGAAACTGGGATTGGATGTCCTGAAAGAATTGGTGTCATCTGTTGTGGTATCACTTCCAGAGAGATTGCATCGGTTCAGAAAATCCCTCAGTCACTGTCAGTTTCCATCATCACAGCCATTTCCTTCATACAGAACCTTTTGTGCAATGTTTTAGATAGCAAAAACGTAACTTAACATATACAAGAACAATATATTAGATACAATGATCAATATTCAGACAACGCATACGAGGCATTGTTGCCTTCAAAACAAAACAGAGTTAAGTGATGTCCCTTGCCATTAGAACATTAATCTTAAATGTCCACATTACTCCTCGAGAATTCATACCGGAACCAGCATTGGATACAAACAGGATGAATAACATCTGGAGTATGTATAAACACGGTAGGAGACATTATCTAAGTCTAGGAATTAAACATCAGGAAGTTCACTGTCAATATCTGATACCTCTGTGGTAGATATCTGGGGAGAAGTGACTTCCTTTCTTTTGACATGCTACCTTTGACTCATTCATGCTACCCAGAGTACATCTTGATGTGAGAATACAGCATTCAGAGTACACTGTCAGTCATGATCCAGCTTCAGGGCAGTAGTGTTACAATAACAACAGTTCCTGTTCCCAGCCCCCCGATAAACCACAACACCTGTGTTGGGTATCTGCTAGGGTGGTTTGGAGGTTTGTTCCATTAAAGCAAACTCAACTACCTGTACCTCTTCAGGGCTTACTGTTTCTTGGATTTCTA